GGCTACTCAAATATTTTACGTTTTTGATACTAAATTAACTTCTGAAGTATAATTTTTTATTGTTTTTATATTTTTCAATATATTTATTTTGTTTGTACAAAATAAAGAAATAATTTTTAACGATACAATAGTCACAACTATTATTTTTAAAAGTTTACGTTAGGCTTAACATCGACGAAAATTCAATGCGAAGCGACACGCAACAGAGAAAAATTTCAACATGGGATAGGTTAATATATTTTTTTCGTACATAATCGGTTATCCGAAATATCGTTTTTTTTTCCGAACAACCCCAGTCCCCAATTGCTTCGGATAAACGACGCTCTACTGTATTCCACTTTGATATTTAGCAATCACCTATCGAAAGAATAGAAATCTTTTATGGTAATTATATATCTCTCACTTACGCATATAAAAACTTGGAGGAAACTAACGGAATTTTAGCACGACTTTCCTGGTGACATTAAGCATCAGTTTAATTAATATTGAAGTTGCCGACTAAATAGTTATTCGGCGGGTGTGATTCATCAGATCCACGTTACAATGCACGCTTTGTTTTATAATTATGTATATAGAATCATTTCTAGAAATTGCCATAAAATAATCATCTCTCCCGATATTACGGTATAAATATCAAGTTCTTGTTGTATTTGCTCCAAGTGTTTGCTTTAATTTCGTTTTATATTCCCGTGTACGGTCTTGGTTAACGCAAAATGTTTATATTTACATGTTTGTATTTCGTGCTGCGATCACGTCAGCACCATCATGTGCATTTATCGAACCGCTCAGAGCCGGCCCTACCATAGGGCGAACGGAGCAGCCGCTCCAGGCGCTAAGTCCTAGGGGGCGCCTCAGTGGTAAAAAAAGTAAAGGAAAAAATATTTTTTTTCACTTTTCGATATTTTAATTGCAAGCGTGTGGTCAGTATGTGAATGGCCTTATCTGTTGAGACGCGCGTGAGTCGAGTGCGTGTTCCATCCCCGGGCGCCATAATAGGATCTCGCTCCATCCTAAAACTTGCCTCGGGCCGGCACTGGAACCGTTCCTATTCTAATCCCTATCCCCACACCGGTGTGACGTGGCTTTTTAATCGTTATTATACACGCGTCAGATTCTAAAATTATAATTTAAAAAAATCCAAAATTGTTCATTAAATTCCCTTTCTTCGTGGTTTAACACGTAACAAATGAATTCGACAATTGAAGCTGTTGTTGTTGTTGTTGTTGTTGCGATTGTTTTGCTCTTGTTATTACAAAGAGTGCGATTTGGAAAGCGATTCGATGTTTTTTGATGGTGGAGAGTATCGACCACTGCCTCATCCTTCGGGGTAAGAGATTTTTTACATTTCATTATTATTTATTCAGATAAGAAATTCGTTTTAGCAATTAAAGGCTTTAAAGAAAAACTTCCATCTACAATATATAATTAGGTCTAATTAGATTAAATGTAAAGATTGCAACTTTACTATTTTTGTGTTTTCCTGTATTGCTGTCCGCAATAGAAGGCTGAAATAGAGGGCTTTATAAGGCACAGTTTAGGGCCTGGTGTTAAGAAGATAATTTAGGGCTTTTCAATTTACTGCTGTTTAAACGAGTAATCGGGCCTCTTTTATATCACGGATTAGGTCTAACTCTGGTACTGAAGGGTCGTTAATAAGACGAAATTTGTTAAAACGAACTTCGTTTAATGAATATATTTGATATGTCTTTTTTTTTTTTAAATAACGAAAAGATTTAGACTAGTCGAGTGTTAAGCTACAATTTATAAAAGGCCTTCCCCTCTGTCGAATAAACTTAAAGGCGCGAGGATCTAATGTAGTTTGAGAGTAGAATTAAATAATTATTGTGTTGTGAATTTTCTCTTTGCATATTTAGGGAGGGATTGGATAAATATGTGGACGTGCGAAGATTCGTCAGTCCACACAATTTAGATTATTTTAAATTTCGAGGAAGCAAGACGAAGAAAGGCCTTGTGAAGCAGTTCGAACCCTCGACCGGCGCTTTCGAAGGTTTGGACGTTTTTGAAAATAACATCAAGCCTGCTTATAGACATGTTTTGATGAAGGTTCGACCAATCTGTCAGACGACCTGCCAACGTTTTAACAGGTAAATTATATTACTGTTTGTATATAATAAACTTGTTTATATTATATGTATGAGCTATTTAACGAGGGGGTTATTCTATGAAATACGAGGTTAAGAAATCATCGTCTTAATTTTTCAATAAATAATAATAAGTTTAATAGTTTCTTACTCTCGTAGGAAATTACAGAAAATATTTTCCAAGTGTTACCATTTTTAAATATTCATAAAATTTGAAAATTATATATTTATTGTATTGCGAATTCTTTCTTTCCTTGTTTAGTGAGAGATTGGTTGAAGATGTGGAGGATGAAGGAGTGAACAATAGAGAGAGCGCGGTTCCTCCACAAAACACCAAAGCAAACGAAGATCCGGCAGAGCACGAAGATTGCGTGCAAGATAATCCTGGCCATTGCAGCACCTGTGAATATCGGGATAGAAATACATTGAAGAAAGTCGGGTCGTTCTTTAAAAGCATATGGAAACCCGTTAAGAGGTAAAATTTTGTACGCGGGAATAAAGTTCGATTTAGCCTCTGAAATTGGCAATAAATCGAATGTGGCGCTAAGCCCAAGTATCAATTACACCAAAAATTTTTATAGTACTGTATTAAGGTCTAAACACAAATTTGAGTTGGAAATGTTTGCGAATCGCATAACTTTCCCGTATTGTTCGGCGCTGTATCTGCCAAGCCAGTGTCTTTACTGATTCGATGAAAAGTTAAGATAGAAATGAAAAAATAAGCTATTTTGAATGAAAAATTGAATTCAAAATGCCACCGAACTAATGAACTAGTAGAAAATTTCATAATCTAACTTTCATTCTTTAATTGGCCAACATTTACAGCCGATCGATATAGCGCCGCAATATGTTTTAATGGAATTCAAATCAAGTTATACGTTTTCGATGAATAATTATAGTTCTTTTTTTACATTTAGATCCGTGCAGAAGGTGTATAAAATGGCAAAAAGTGGAGAATGCGAGTACGTTCAGTTCGAGTAAGGATCTCTTTGTTTCCATCTATCCATCGACAATAAGATCTGCTCTATGATTTGCTATAAATTATTTTCTGGATTTAGGCCGAGTTGGCTTTGGGTAAGTGTCTATGGCAACTTTATTGTATTCTACACTTGGGAGATTTTACGGTCTCGGTTTATAAATTAACACAATTTCTGACCACGATTTCATAATAACACGCAATTAATGGCCGGACAATAGAAAAACTAGAAATACGGTATTAACGTGGCAATATATTATATTTTGATGCGATTGAGATCGTACTACAGAAAGCCCACGTTTTTAGGGTATCGAGCATGCATAGCCTGTATATTCTTGCCCAAGTAGGTTACTCACAATGATACATTTTGGGATGCAGTGAAAGCAATAGTATAAATGAATGTAGAAACGAAATTATCCAGTAATATTACGTGATTACTAGGACAGGAACATCCTAAATATAATCGAATTAACAATGACATAGAATATTTGATGCATACATGACACTTGGCAGTATGCAGTTAATTGCGGTAAGCAATATCTTTTGGCATGTAATTTTAATTCCATTTTAGAAGGAAATAAAGTTATTGATGTAAAAATTAATTAATCTTGTTTCTCAGTGTTGGTTACCTACTACCACTAAACAAAGTTTAAAATAAGATTCACACGTAAGTCTACTGTATATAAAAAAGTGTTTATTTTGACTATGACTCATATTTTTGACAATTACAATTAATTTTGAAAGTATTAAAGTTTGTTCTGTTCTTCGCTGGATTCTGCTACATCACGCCAATATCTCATTCTCGTCACGTCAGCGGGGGTAAGATAATTAAATATTCCTCTTAGAATCCGTAAACTTATAAATTTCCTACCACTTTCTAACTTAAATGTTTATCAATAATTGTTTTAATACGATTACGTAAGTAGTTAAAGTTGTTGATAATGTCATTACATCAAGTAGAATAATGTTTCGTTGACGAATCGATTAGATCAGTAGAAACATTAACGTAGTCGGGGAATTTATTTGCCTCGAGAGACCAGTTTCGAATTTATTGTAAATGATAATTTTTCACGGAAGCTCTTTCTATTCGCTTATTTTAAATAACTATCGATATAATCGGTCGGGCGGACCCGATGGATTTTACAGTACATCAGTGATATTCTCATGCAACAAATTCAGCCGGGTCCAAAACAATCGACGACTATATAGCCTATACAAGATTTCTCACANTAATTTTAGTCAAGTACACAATTTATGACAAATAGACCTACGCTTATTTATCGACTTGATATAAATTTTAAGAATAAATGAAAATATTTTTTATTTAGATGTTTTATACGTATAATTTAATTACATTCGTTCTCAATTTACACGCAGATTTTTTTCTTTTTAAATATTATTTTTTCTTCTAAAAGTATAAACTTATCAGAGACAAATTCTACAATTTATTTGTTATAGTTCATTAAAATTAAAACTATGACTAAGAAATTATCAAATCTTAGATAACTTCCAAAGCAAATGATTTATTTATAGATTCATTTGAATACATAATTTAAAATTGAAATGCATAGCAAAATATAAAGACAAAGTATTATGCGTTTATTACCATTGTTTTAATATTTAAATTTTTTTAAAAATGTTTATATTGATATGAACTCATTAAGTAGAAGAATACTTAAACGAATCCTATAACAATTTATTTACAGATATACGTATAATGAAATGAATTTACCAACTTTTGAAATATTGTATATGTAAGGTGCTCTTACATATACAATATTTTATGATCTTATATAATTATTGTATAGTTCTATGGAGCTTCTATAAGGATCCGAACTATATCACTTCCATTAGATAAAAAGTTAATTATTAGCATTATAAATTTGAAAAATAATTTAATTAAGATTATCTACGTTAAACATTGAAAAAAAAATGCGTAAAATTAAAATATAATCTTTCAGAAGCTTTGTTCTAAAAATAGACATTTTATCAAGATACAGCATATAGATATATTAAAGTAAGTCACAAAATTAATTTAATTTTATTATTTATAAAATATTCTTGAAAAATTTTATTAATTATTATAAAAATAAGCATTTTAGAAATGCCGACAAATGCGATATAGTAATTAACATTGTTTTTATTGGTTTAAATATTGACTTTAGCAAAATATTTTATTGAACAGCTTATGTTGAGCCCTTTAACAATTTATAATTAAAAAATAAACTAATACTGTATTAACCAAATTCGTGAATGACGCTCTTTATTCTCATTCCTTAAATTTAATAATGTATATATAGTATAAGCTATTTTTTCAGTTAAGTTAAATTTTGAGGGTGCAATACACTAAGGTTAAAAGTTTATGATCCCATGCTGTTGTGCACATAGCCTTTACCATGAATTAAATACAGTATTAAAGATTGAAAAGTAAAAATTTAAAGGTATTAAATTCATTAAAATCAAATAAAAATTTTATCCTTAATAAGAATAGCAAACACATCACTTAAATAACCAAACATATAAAGAAAATCATAATAATTTATCATAAAAATATTAAAATAAAATTATTAATGAAACGCGTTTATGTCTCGTTAAGAATATTAATTAAACAGTTCTTAATTAAACAAATTTTGAATAAAATAAATATTTTTATCTAATAGTTTTACATTGTCATTTATTGTTAACGATTTTAAAATTACTTTATATATACTGGATTTGAAAAATAAATTTTATTTCTAGATTTTACATTAATTCGAAAATTTATTTCTATTATTTTCTAATGAATAAGTTAATTTTTGACTCTTGAGCAGTTTTGATTTGGATATTTCTTTTGTCTGCTGATATGAGTGAGGACTTTGGCTTTGCGTTACTCTTCAATTAAACTTTTATCCAGATTATATGTGGAGTATCTGCAACCTTTTGTAACTTTTAATGAGGCCTGATAGTCTATACAATGGTATAATAGTATATAATACAGAAATTATTTGTTTTTCTTCACTTTTCAGATAAATTAACTAAAAAGTGTTTTCTGTGCTTTTTTCAATCTATCTATGTATATATTTTTTTGTGGATATATACTAAATATAGTGTATCAACTTAAGCAATTTGTAATACAATGTGCAGCTTTATGACAGCCCTTTGAAATGGGACTGATTATCCGATTAAAAAATGTTTGTCATCTCTGATTCTAAACCGAAGATTCGAAACCATTTAAAATATTTATATTATATTTAGAATAAAATTTTAAAGTCAATTTCGATATTCAATATAAAAATCAACGTAAGCAATAAAGTCCGTGTGCAATTTATATTTATAACTTTATTAGTACTTGTGATAGAGAAATTATGTATGATGTATTGGAAAATAGAAAATCTATTATGTAAAGCAACAGTAAATTTCAGTTCAGCCAACTAAAGGACACAGTTTACTTTTTCTTCAGTTGAAACCACGGGTCACACGTAATTCTGGAAAATAGTATTTTTAAAAGTTTCGAAAAATTGTTAAATTATTAAAAAGTTACTAAATAATTTTACTTAAAACTACGTACATTAAGCTTTCTAATACTTTTTACGGAATTTTTCTATCACAAGTACTAATAAAGTTATAAATTTTTAAAATTGCACACGGACTTTATGGATATCTTGTATTACTAAATAAAAATTAAATATTAAAAAAAAAGCTGATGTTGTTTAATTTTAAATGAATAATATTTTATTTAAATTTAAAAACTAAAATTTCTTTTTTTAGTATTATCGAATTTTTAAAATTAAATTTTATAATTCTATACATTATACTCGATTAATAATTCTTCTTCTAAATTTTCGATTTTATCGCCATCTGGTGAAAATATTCATAATCAATATTTAAAATCTACTTAAAAATATAGTTATTTTATCAATTAAAAAAGGTTTTACTTAATTTATTTTTAGATTTTACTTAATTTTCCCCTATGTATTAAATAGGAAAGCTTTCAACATTATTCAATCTTACAATTTTTTCTTTTATTTTACTTCTAAATATTAGACTATAATTTTCCATGAAAAGCAAGCCTAATTACTTAAATTTATATAAATAAAACGAACGCTGTTTAAGAATGATTCTGTATTAAGTGTGAGGAGGTCACTAAATACTGAGACCCGAAATGCCTGCCTATCGTATCATGGTTGACTGGGTAGTTAAGCGGCGGAACCGGCATATCCAGACCAACCCATCCGTGAACAATTCTGATAATTGGGTGCAGTCGCGGCATTCTAACAAGGTTCAGCAGTAGTCGCATAGAGCAGAATCCTACGGAATAGTCACCTCATCTGCAGTTGAGATCTCAAAAGTTACCAGTAAACTTACTCATAAAATATATGTAATCGCAGTGGCGTACCGTGGGTGTCAGCCGCCCGGGGCGGAGGAAAATTTCAGCCCCCCCTTATTTAGGTATTTCAATTTAAAAGACCAAAATTCAGTTTTGTCACAGAACAAGCAATGAAACATTTGATGGTAGTGCAGCGACCTGTTTAAAATAGTTCTATTGGACATTAGTGGTGTATATGAACCCGAATGAATCGTACAAGCAAAAAAAAAGGTTAACAGGTTTCGCAGGATCCGGACGATAGCACTATCGTAGGCGCGATGCAAGTATAAATTAGGATGTTTCAAATTTTTACAAGATATTATTATTATTTATTGTGAAATTTTGCCGCCCCCTAAAAAGTGCCGCCCCCACTACGGTACGCCACAGTGTAATCGCAACGCGGATTCTATCTCGACTTACCAGAGCGGGGAGCCGAAAGTTCAGTTGTATGCGAATGATAAATCTACTTATAATAAATATGTAATTGTGCAAAAGATATTCAACTAACATGAAGACCAGGAATCATCTGAATCAAATATTCAAATTATTTACGTAATCGTCTGGTATAAATAAACTTCATACATTGACTAATCACAATAGGCTGATGGCCGGATGGCCGAACGGCCAAGGTGGCAGCCTACCGCTCTGGAGAACGCGAATTCTGTCCGGATATGTCGGGGCACGTCCCTTACCACCCGGCCGCCCCGTTGTGGGCCTGGCGAACCCCTAATGAGGTTGCTAAAAGAGACCCTTTTAGTGCTCACAGGGCGGAAGAGTTTAAAACAATCATAATAGGCTTATTTCGGCGTAAGCTAGCACAAACACATGCCATACACAGTATGAAACCATTTTCTTGTCAGAAAACTTTTCAATGGTAAATTGTGTCAGAAAATGATGATATTGATGTTGCAACCGCATAAAAAATATTAATTGTATATATTCAATACAAATCCTACAAACATTCTTTTCATAGGCTTAGCTCATTTTTCGTGGGCCAAATAAACTATACAGTAAAATCTGTGTATCTCACGGTACCGAATATTTTCTCCTGTTTGGCATGTTTCCATTTTGAACATGTTCCTTTTTAATTAACGTAGAAAATTGCTCCGTTCCGAAAT